CTGACCCTATACGCCCCAACGCCCCATTCCCTCTCCGGTATCTACAACGGGTTGTGTCGCTATTACGACAGGCGCGCTGTGAACAGTTGATCGTTCCCTCGGGCTGGATGAATTTTAGGCGTGATGCACCGCTGCAGCTGGGGGTTCTCCGCAGCGCCACGCAACTTTCTAAATTCTTCCATCTCACGGAGAAAATAAGTCAGGTCGAAGCGTTAACACAACAGTATGGCTAAAGCTTCAAGGAAAATACAAAAAAAAACCCAATGCAATTCCTATAGTTCATTGAATAGATAAATTTTAATACATTGCATATAGAATAATATTATCTGATATTGTGAATTTCTCTACCTGTGTCTCCTCCAATGATAACAGCAGCCACCTCTGCAGCACTTGGCGGTTTGCACCTTCCTTTCAAACGTATCAAATACAGATGCTGCGCAATAAAATTGAAACGCCCCAAACTGCATATTTGGCAGAAGTAAAAGTAGTAAATGAACAACAGGTGCTATCTTGCAATTTTGTAAGACATCATTCTGCATGCACACCATTAGTAGATCAGCTTACAGGTTAATTTGCTGGTGATATCATGTTTGTACACATTTTTACTCACGCAAACCTTTAGTAAATCAGGCCCATGATGCGCTAAATGGAGCTTTAAACACCTTTGCCGAATAAGTTCTGACGTAGCGAACATTTAACTCGCATGACTGATCAGCTGTTTCTTCGTCTTTGTCTCCGGACAGCGTGAAACACGGCCGATACTGTCTGACATGGAACAATTACAACTTGCCCAGTTAAAACACATTGCTGAGAACCTCTCTCCGTTTCCCTCAGCTCCTCGGCCCTCAGGTCCATGCGACTGGTTTCGTTTCCTGTTTGCAAACTCTTGTTTATTACAGCCATGCGGAACGTCCACTTCTGACAAAACTATACTTTACGTAGCAGAGTTTTATCGCTCCAAACTGGCTGATGGAAACACACCTAATTTACATTTGTTATTTTATCGCTACATTTCAAAAGTTCGCTTAAAATTTGCTTGACAATTAGCTGGAAACAAGGCTACTGATCCTTAAACCAAGTCTCAACCCACAAGAATATGGAGAGCCGTTTTTTAACCCACACAGTCAGAAGATTTCCAGCTTTTCCCTGAGTGACAGCAGTTAGAATATTTAGGGTTTTAAACTGATGTCACAGTGAGTATTAGAAAAGTGGAGTACAGGATTTCCCCTTTGTTTTGATATTTTATGGTGCAAACTATTCATAAAGAAATAACTGGAGAATTAAGTGATAAATAAAAGAATCATTAGTTGCAAACAAACACCATGTCCAATATCCTGCGAAACCTGATTTCTCTCAAAGACAGAGAAATACTCAGAACATGCAGAGACAGCTGTAGAAAGCAGAATGGCTGATGAATAGATGTCTGTTTAAATAAATAAATGCTGTCAAAGAGAGAGAGAGAGAGAGAGAGAGAGAGAGAGAGAGAGAGACAGTGTTAACTAAAGAAGGAAAAAAGAAATGGTGCAGGAAATATTGAGAAACTAAAGGAGGAGCAGAGAGGATGAAAGAAAAATGTGTAATGAGAGACAGGCGGGCAGAGAGAGTAACATTCATTCAGTCATTCTCCACTGCACTTTATTTTGAAATGCAGAGAAATATGGTTTGATTTATCCACAGAAACACACCGAGGACGTGAGCAGCCAGCAGTGTTCAAAATAAAGCCCGAACCATCATTCTTATTCAAAGCCACACACACAAACACACACTTCACATCGGGCTGCAGCAGACGTGCAACACACCAGTTCACTTCTGGAGACAGAAAAGCAGAAAGCAAACGCGTCCGAAGCCGCCGGCGTTATCAACACAATCAGACTGTTCTCCCACACGCCGTGTGTCGTTTTCCACATATTTGCTTGCAGCGAGCATCGTGAAACGTCGTCCGCATGTGTGGGACAGAGCGGGCTGTCAGTTACTGTGAGACGCAAAAACCTGATATAAATAAAAATGTTCGGGGGGGGGGGGTCAGCTATTCAGATCACGTTCAGCTGACGGACAGAACCCAGCTGCTGCGATTTACATTTAAGACGCAAAGGGTCCAAAGTCCAGCTCGGCCTAATTGATTGAACCAATCATGGTAAGACCAGGTGATTTAGGCCGCGACTTATTACCTGAGTTAATTAAAGAGAGGGAGAGAGAGTCTTTCAGGGTGAGTGGAGAGAGAGCGAGAAAGAGAGGAAAAGGGGGGGTGTAAGCTGCCAAAGGGGGAGAAATGTAGGTATGAAAGGTATGAAATAATAAAGATAAAAACAAAGAGGGGAGGGGGAGGCAATTAAAAGGCTGAGGTAAGTCTGTTCTGTCTCAGTGACGGAGACTCAGCTGCTAAACACTGATTCATACCTGCAGGACGCCTCTTCATTGCTTCACTGTGAAGATCCACAGACCAGAGCATTTCTTTGGGACCTCATTGTCATGTGTCGATTAAAACAGCTGGCTGCTGCTTAAACTGGGAATGAATAACCAGGTAACTGCTCAGTAGGTCTGACATTACTGATAATTAATCACACCCTGAATTTAGAAGGCAGGTGATGTTCTGAGGATTTATATTTAGTTGTTTCACACAGTGTCTGTTGCCCGTGCCTATAAAGCCTCTTAAATCGGATAGAAATCCATGTGTTGAATCACACTGTGCTCCGTTACAGTTACGTTAGAACATACGACAGCGAGCAGCCGTGAACGATGACGCCTTTGTGTTTCCTTCGGTGACACACAGCGAGTGAATCATCTGTGATGTGGGAGCAAAGACACACCTGCACAGATGCTGTAGCTCGCTTCCTTTGCTCCTGTTGTGTCCAATCGCTGTATTAACATGAAGCAGTATCTCAGATCTCTGGGGGGGACCCAGATGTGCAGAGAGGTGCCTCTCTATGTGGTTACTGCATAATATAACCTGCTGCCTATATTCTAACATGCCCCTGTGCTGAACACGCAGAGGATGCAGGAGTTCTTCTTCTCATGAAGCCTCAGTTCAGCTTGAAACGTCTAAGTCCTGCAGAGCGTTTAGAGCATTCAGAAGAGAGAATAATGAGTATTATTATCCTGACATTCGTCAAATTACAAAGACCACAACTGAGGGGGGCGGGGGGTTGAAAAGACAGATGTAGGATCAGAGAGAAAGTCAAGGTCAGAAAGGACGGAGAGAGCGAGACAGGCGTTTGACCCGGGCAAACACAGCCTATGATCTGAATCAGAATTAAAGGAATGACGGACAAGTGTGAAAGTTGTCCTTTCAATCAACACTAACCTTTCACCGGCTGGAGCGCCGACCTCAGAGGGAGGGAGGGAGGGAGGGAGAGGCTGTTGTGAGATGCTTCCCGTCTGTCCTGCACAATCTGTGGATTTTCTTTTTAGTGAAAAGGTTTTAAAAACAAAAAAGGGAGATTGGATGTTGGTTAAGAAGAAACACCATTATACACCATTGGATTTTCAGAAAAAGAAATTCTATAAATGCTCCTGGATGTCAGAGTGCAGCACCTGCTCATGTTTCTCCTGCTGTAGAGCAACATGATGTGGTAACACTCCTCCACCACCGAGTCCAAACACCTTCAGAATAAAAAGAGTGAAGCAACATGTAACTGCAGAAACACATGCTGTCTTAGGTGGAAAGAGTAATAAAATGCTGTGAAGTATCAGAATTACTGATCCAACAATTACCAGATAATCTTCCTGAGTACATTCACATAAATGCAGCTGAAACTGAAGCTCACATAAAACCAGCAGCAGCTGGATGCAAACTAACGGCTGCGTCTGTGAAGTTTTTCCCCTCACTACGATTTTTGGGTATAATATATAATAAATGTTTTGCAAATCATGTCTACACACTAAGAAGCCACTGCCGGCAACCGGCTAACTTAGCTTAGCATAAAGACTGGAAACCGGGGGCTAGCCTGGCTGCGTCCAGCTACAGCAGCTGTACAGCACACTGACTAACAGGCGTCTGCATTTCACATGGGGTGATGAGCCAGACTACATCCTGTCTGGGACCAGAAAGTTCTTGGTGGACTGCTCAGAGCCATGAGTCGGTGCTGGTTGGCGGGCGCCTCCTCCTGCTTGTGATCGCTGCTGGTGGTCAAAATCTCCGCAGGGAAAAGTGGGGGAGGAAACCAGGGAGAGGGGCAGGATCAGAGAGACCTGATTAACTGCTACTCTTCAGCTCCACGGTGCGCTCAGGATCTGTGTGGAGAAGATAAACGCTGTCTTTGCACAGAACTTCTTCCTGTCACCTGTTCGTTGTAGTCAGTTTGGAGTGCATTCACTTCTGTGGTTGCCGTATTTGCTAATATGAACAGCTGAGCAAATAAAGAGGAGCCGGAGCCGCTCCCTGGTGACTGAGGAGGTTCACTTGAAGCCTCCTCAACTCCAAGGAGTGTTTTTATAAAAAGAAAATTGTTCACTCTACACATGTTGGCGAGTTTATCCAAAGTGCCACGTTCATCTTATTTTTTTTCAGTTACATTTAAAGCAAACAACACAATTGGTGTTTGTTTAATATGAGCTGTGATTAGTTCCTGATCCCTCGGCTCACAGCAGCAGATGTGACCTGCAACAGCACAGCTGCAGAACGAGGAACAGAGCAGCGCTTACTGGATTTCTGCAGGCAGAACGAACCTCGAGTGCTTTAAAGACTTAAACCCGTCTGTTGCTCTCAAATTCAAATTAACTTTATTAGCATGAATGTATAGCAACAATATTGCCAAAGCTACATATAAAGAACATAAAGACAATTAATTTCATACATTTCATTAGAGAAGAAAATAAAACATCAAAAGTTGTGTTTATGTGTGCTAATAATAATAATAAATAATAACGATAAAAAATATATTAGAAAATTTAAATAATACAACAGTAAGTGTGTTAAAAAAATAAAGAATAAAAGAATAAATAAAAATATATAAAAAATTTAAATAAACTAAGTAAATGACGTGTGTGTCTCTCTCTCTCAGGACCTGGCAGCCTTGGTAGCCAACGGCACAGTGACCAGCAAGCCTCCGGTCACCTTACGACTGGTCATCCCGGCCAGCCAGTGCGGCTCCCTCATCGGCAAGGGCGGCTCCAAGATCAAGGAGATCAGAGAGGTGAGCGTCTGCTGAGAGAATCCAGTTTCACAGGACGTATAAAACCGTCCCGTACATCCTCACAGGTTTACGGCTCATCACTAATGTCAGACATGCAGGACATGATCGTCCATCCGGCAGACAGGAAGCATCATAAACCACCGCTGATGAGCTCCCATATTTAGTTTTATATTATATTTAGCTACCAACTAACGGATATCTGAAGAAGTCAGATTTTAAGTGAATACGTTTCTGATGAATTTAACCATCTCAAGGATTTGATGTGGCGAGGGGAGGACTGCAGGATACTCGCTAACTAGCTCTTTAAATTCCCTTTGACTGGCTGTCTAAACGCAGCTCCATCCATCGTGTCTGTTAATACGCGGTCTGACCTTTTGAATTATGAACTAAACCACAAATGTTCTTCCAGCCCCGAATCCCTGTCAGGCCTCTCTTCCTCCTCCTCCTCTTTATACACACTCTTCGTTGTTTCCTGCAGCTTTCTGCATCTGACTGCATGTTTTCTGCTCAGCTGGACTCACATCATAGAGAATAACTGCTGTGTTTGTGTGTGCAGACGACAGGTGCCCAGGTGCAGGTGGCAGGTGACCTCCTCCCCAACTCCACAGAGAGAGAGGTGACGATATCAGGGAGCCAGGACGCCATCATCCAATGCGTGAAACTCATCTGCACTGTGATCCTAGAGGTGTGTATCCACGAGGAGGACGGAGTGTGTGTGTGTGTCATGTAGCCTCGTCTTCATATCATCTTCATCGCGTCAGGCTCGCAGAAAAATGTACTTGTTACGACACTACAGACAGACATCTGCACATATGGGGAGCTGTTTGAACATCCATTCCTTAACACATAATAGACGCAATTTAAAAGCTACTAGTAACCATTTTCATTTTACTGGTATCTATTATTTAGATAATGGTGCATATTTTTACATTGCTGCTAACTGTTATTACTACACTGAACAAAATTATAAAGGCAATCCTTTTGTTTTTGCCCCCATTCATCCTGAGCTGAACTCAAAGATCTGAGACTTTCTCTATGTGCACAAAAGGCCTGTTTCTCTCAAATATTGTTCACAAATCTGTCAAAATCTGTGTTAGTGAGCACTTCTCCTTTGCCGAGATAATCCATCCACCTCACAGGTGAGGCATATCAAGATGCTGATCAGACAGCATGGGTATTGCACAGGTGTGCCTTAGGCAGGCCACAACAAAAGGCCTTAGGGCGGCCACAACAAAAGGCCTTAGGCCGGCCACAATAAAAGGCCTTAGGGCGGCCACAACAAAAGGCCTTAGGGCGGCCACAATATCAAAACGTTAGAGCCAACAAAAAACATTTACTAGTAAGAATGAAAATAATATGCTAGCGTTTCAAAACATCGCCGTTTTGAAATGGCATGTTATTAAAGTCGTGAAACGTTGCATTTTGGTTCAGTTTAGGCAACAAAACTACTTGGTTAATGTTCGTAAAAGATCCTGGTTTGGGTTAAAATAACTACGTAGGTCAGTTAACACTTAAGTGACTTAACTAACTTAAATAAAAATATTTAATGTTGAATTTTTGTTTCACATGGACACGAACCCTGGTCTCCCCGTTCAAAGTCTGGGTTCTGGCCCTCGCTCCCTCCCTCCCTCCCTCCATCCATCCCTCCCAACCACCTCCTTACTCAGTCTTTTCTCTTCAAACATCATACACCTGCCTTTACCGTCACAAACTGACACTACAGGGCTCCCCCGCCCCCACTGCACTGAACTATGACGCTATAGGGATCCCCAGTGCGTTACAAACTGACGCCGATGGGTCTTGACCATGTGTCCCTATGTGACGAGTCGACAGGCACAATTCAGGGACATAAACACAAGGCTCACTCAGTGTTCGTCTCCCTGATGCATTTTTTATGATGATGAAGACACTTTTCAATGATGCAACCTGATGCTAACTTAGACACAGCTGCAGGGGCGACTGATTCATGGAGGACGTCTACCCGTCTGCTCTCTGAGAGGACGTCTACCCGTCTGCGAGGTTGTTTACCCGTCTGCTCTCTGAGAGGACGTCTACCCGTCTGCGAGGCCGTCTACCCGTCTGCTCTCTGACAGGACGTCTACCCGTCTGCGAGGTCGTTTACCCGTCTGCAAGGTCGTTTACCCGTCTGCTCTCTGAGATGACGTCTACCCGTCTGCGAGGTCATTTACCCGTCTGCTCTCTGACAGGACGTCTACCCGTCTGCGAGGCCGTCTACCCGTCTGCTCTCTGACAGGACGTCTACCCGTCTGCGAGGTCGTTTACCCGTCTGCTCTCTGACAGGACGTCTACCCGTCTGCGAGGTCGTTTACCCGTCTGCTCTCTGAGAAGACGTCTACCCGTCTGCTCTCTGTGAGGACGTCTACCCGTCTGGGAGGACGTCTACCCGTCTGCTCTCTGACAGGACGTCTACACGTCTGCAAGGTCGTTTACCCGTCTGCTCTCTGAGAAGACGTCTACCCGTCTGCTCTCTGTGAGGACGTCTACCCGTCTGCGAGGACGTCTACCCGTCTGCTCTCTGTGAGGACGTCTACCCGTCTGCGAGGCCGTCTACCCGTCTGCTCTCAGAGAGGACGTCTACCCGTCTGCGAGGCCGTCTACCCGTCTGCTCTCTGAGAAGACGTCTACCCGTCTGCTCTCTGTGAGGACGTCTACCCGTCTGCGAGGACGTCTACCCGTCTGCTCTCTGAGAGGACGTCTACCCGTCTGCGAGGTTGTCTACCTGTCTGCTCTCTGAGAGGACGTCTACCTGTCTGCTCTCTGACAAGACGTCTACCCGTCTACGAGGTCGTTTACCCGTCTGCTCTCTGAGAGGACGTCTACCTGTCTGCTCTCTGACAGGACGTCTACCCGTCTGCGAGGCCGTCTACCCGCCTGCTCTCTGAGAGGACATCTACCCGTCTGCGAGGCCGTCTACCCATCTGCTCTCTGAGAGGACGTCTACCCGTCTGCGAGGTCGTTTACCCGTCTGCTCTCTGAGAGGACGTCTACCTGTCTGCGAGGTCGTCTACCTGTCTGCTCTCTGTGAGGATGTCTACCCGTCTGCGAGGTCGTCTACCTGTCTGCTCTCTGAGAGGACGTCTACCCGTCTGCGAGGTCGTCTACCCGTCTGCTCTCTGAGAGGACGTCTACCCGTCTGCGAGGTCGTCTACCTGTCTGCTCTCTGAGAGGACGTCTACCCGTCTGCGAGGCCATCTACCCGCCTGCTCTCTGAGAGGACGTCTACCCGTCTGCGAGGCCGTCTACCCATCTGCTCTCTGAGAGGACGTCTACCCGTCTGCGAGGTCGTTTACCCGTCTGCTCTCTGAGAGGACGTCTACCTGTCTGCTCTCTGTGAGGACGGTGAAAGTGTAATTTCTGATTGAGTTCTAATGAATCCGAGGCAGCAGTTGTTGAGGTGAGCTCCGTCCAGGTGCAGCAGCAGCAGGAAGAGGCTGGGCAGCTCGTTGTTATTCTCAGCACCTCGATGAGGGAAGAGAAAGGAAAGAAAGCAAAATGCTGACCTGAGCTAAACTCCTTCTCTTTCATGTGCTGTTTACTCTGTGCCATCGCTCTGCTCACACTTCCTCTTTGATCTCAAATAAGAAATCTTTTGATCTACTCCCTTCTCCTCCCCTCGCTGCGTTCCACCCAGTGCATGCTGGGACAGGAATTACTCTGTGACTGACTGAGGTCCACATGCTGGTGGACTCATCCTGCCTCTCACTTCCTGGTAGTTTTAGATGAATCCAGTTTCTCTCAGCTGACGATCAATATCAATATCAATTTTATTTATATAGCACATATATAAATAAAACATATATATATATGTTATATATATAACAACCAAGGTTGGCCAAGGTGCTTCACAGGTTAAATACAACAACAAGACACTACTCACACAGTAAAAGTACAGCAATAAAACATTATAATATACAGTATACGATATATAGTGATATTAAAATTGCCAGGAATAATAACAGACTTAACTTAACTTCGAAGGAAATGCCAAAGAAAAGAGGTGTTTTTAACAGTGATTTAAAACGTTCGAGAGTCGGGGCGGTTCTGATGTGGACTGGCAGGTTGTTCCACAGGTTAGGGGCAGCTACACTAAAGGCTGGATCGCCTCTGGTTTTAAGTCTGCTTCTGGGTCCATCCAGGAGGAGGAGACTGGTGGATCTCATTACTCTAGCTGCAGTATGAACGTGAATAAGCTCTGTTAAGTATAATGGAACCAATCCATTAAGGCATTTAAAAGTTAAAAGTAAGATTTTAAAATCAATCCTGTAATGAACAGGAAGCCAGAGGAGGGAGCGCAACACAGGTGTGATGTGGTCCCTCTTCTTCTTTCCTGTCAGGAGACGGGCAGCAGCGTTTTGGACTAACTGCAGGCGCTGAATCGATGACTTGTCTAAGCCCATAAATAAGGAGTTGCAATAGTCAAGGCGGGAAGTTATGAAGGCATTAATCACCCTCTCCAAATCTTTAGGAGGGAGATAGGCCTTAACCTTGGCTATAGTTCTCAACTGGAAAAAGCAGGATCTAACAGTGGCGGATATCTGTTTATCAAATTTAAACGCACTATCCAATACAACACCAAGACTCCTCACAGTTTAGCGGCTGTTTGAAGTTAAAGAGAATCTACATCAAGCAGTTCAGGGTGTCCAAACACTATGATCTCTGTCTTGTCTCCGTTTAGGTTGAGGAAATTTAGGTTCATCCACGTTTTGATGTCCTTCATACAGTCAAGCATGGGCTGCAGTGAGCCCTTTGCTTTTACATTCAGGGGCAAATCAATTTGAATATCGTCTGCAAAACAGTGTAAAGAGACCTCGTACATCTCAAAAATGGAGGCCAGGGGCAGCATATACAAAGAAAATAAGATGCGGCCTAAGACAGAACCTTGAGGGACACCGCAGGTAAATGGGGCCGTTTCAGAGGAATAATCACCGAGGTGGAAGGAGAAGCTCCTATCGGTTAGATAGGATTGAAACCACCTAAGTGCAGTACCTTTGATTCCCACACAATTTTCCAACCGTGACAAGAGGATTGAGTGGTCAACAGTGTCAAAGGCATCAGTGAGGTCTAAGAGCACTAGGACGGCAGAGACTCCTGAGTCAACAGTTAAAATCAAGTCAGTAAAAACTCTTAAAAGCGCCGTTTCAGTGCTGTGACGGGGTTTGAAGCCAGACTGGAACTTTTCATAAACATTATTATTAATTAAAAATGTTTGCAGCTGGGTAAAAACTACTTTCTCCAGGACTTTACATAAGAAACAGAGGGGTTTTTTAACAGGGCTGTACAACAGCGTGTTTCAAGGCGGACGGAACATAACCAGAGACAAGACAGGTATTTATCAATGACAAAATACATGGTCCAACGGTATCAGACTTCTCTAATCAGACGAGAGGGAATGCTGTCTGAGGGACAATTTGTGGGCCGCAGATAATGGACCACCTCAGATAGGGAGGAGATTGATATGGGCTCAAACTGATCTACGACCGCAAGGCGCATAGGAGGAGCAGAAGGATCATGGTCACAGGATGTGGTTACAGAAGATCGAAGAGCAAAAATCTTCTCAACAAAGACACACAGAGGTGTGTAAAAGGAGATTTGACCAAAGAACGTGGGACTGTAATCGTAAATAAGACAGGGAAATGATCCGAAATACATACGTTACATGAACACACAAGCCATGAGACAGCACAAGGTCTAATGTGTGTCCCTTTTCATGTGTTGGGCCAGACACCGACTGAGTGAGATTAAAAGAATTAAGAAGATTTAAGAAGTCTTTAACCATAGGTTTGCTTTCACAGCATACATGTAAATTAAAGTCACCACAAATTATAAAATGGTCGTAGTTTAACCTGACACCTGCTATACAATCAGCAAACTCTTGCATAAAATCTTTGTTGAATTTCGGTGTATGATACACAACTGCACACAGCGTCGGAGGAGAGGCGTTTAATTCAAATAGCTGCAGCTCAAAGCTAGAATATGTGGCAGATGCAGACAGCCGACACTGGAAGGTGGATTTAAACACAGTGGCAAGTCCTCCACCTTTGCCAGTGGTCCAAGGAGAGCTAAAAAATGTACAGTTTGGAGGGAGAAGCTCAGAAAAGGAAGCAGACTCACCAACATGAAGCCAAGTCTCGGTCAGCAGCATAAAGTCCAGTTTATGGGATGTAAAAAAATCATTCAGCACAAAAGTTTTGTTGGCCAGTGATCTGACATTAATCAGGGCCATACGAAGAGTTAAATCCAAACTGTTCGAAGCTCGAAGTTTCCTCACCGACGGGTTTCCCTGCCCGGTGTCGGCCCACAGGGCACCGTGTGTCAGGCCGGTGAGGAAGGTGGATCAGCGTCGGAGGAACAGCACCTGAACCAGACGCTGTCACCAAGGCAGCAGAGGCTTCACCCATCGACAGATGCTGTGAAGCCAAGTCGGCAAGAAGGAAGCCCACAACAGGCAATGACACAACAGCAGTCGGGCTGGGGAAGACGGGTCGAATCCATCGCAGGCACGGGACCTCCGAGCACCAGCAGCCCCCACCGTAGAGGAGACGAGGATGAGGCACATCCGAGGACCTCAGCTAAGCCTTGGGGCGAACAAGCACTCCGGCACTTTCCGCGTCTCCTGTGGCGCTTTTTCCGGGGAAGATCACACGGGACACAGCGCAGATAGTCTGGGATGTTGGACAACCATGGGGGGAGGCCTCCAGCCTGTTCTCCCAAACCATCTCTAGACAGCCCCAAAGCCTCACTGGACGCTCGGATGTCAAACAAAGTTTGGCGATCATAAACGAGAAGGCGAGTTACATCCCGGCAGCAAAAACACAGAAATAAAGCAGCAGCAAACAAAAGGCAGACGGCTTGCCTTATACACTGGCGCCATCTGATTACGTCGGTACAACCAAAGCATTTTAGTTCTGCATGTTGACTAAACGTGAGAAACAGCTTCTCCTTCAGGATGCTCTCAGGTCACTTTGTCCAGTAAGCAGACCAGGACATTCAGCGCCCTGTTTCTGTGTGTCATAATTAGGAGGATCTATGGACAAAAAACACAATCTAAGATCCATAACTCTCTGTTTCTTTTTCCTTCTCAATCCTTCTCTGTAGTCGCCGCCGAAGGGAGCGACTATTCCATACCGACCCAGCCCGAGCCCGGGAACTGTGCTGCTGGCAGGAAACCAGGTAAGAGGACGGAGGAGGATGGCGGCTCGCCTCCAGGAAATCATCTTCAGATAAGCCAGAACAGGGAAATACAGTGTGTTAGGGAGGAGGTCAGTCAGCAGACGGAAGACGTGGGGAGGGATGTAGGGACGGAGGGAAGACGGTGTGAAGAATAAAGGGAAAGAGGAGGTTTATAGACCCTGGGAGGAGCAGAGGAAGCACAGGTGGGATGGACGATTGATTATTGATTGTTTGTGCCCGTCCAGCAGGAGACAAAGAGGCCTTTTCATGTTTATTCATTACAAATCATGACTGTTCATCAGCAGGATGTGTGTGGGGATGCTGGTGTGTGTGTGTGTGAGTCTTCGCCAGCTACATCATGATGATCATCCTCATCATGATGCGTCCGCGTCCACAGCAGGCTGGTGGTCGTGTTTTCATTTTGCCTGCAGACGTGTTTGAAAGAGATTCTACCAAACCAGCGGCCTCATTTCTAAACGGTGCGTCCGTACAAAAGAGGGCTGGAAACGTGCGTACGCCACTTCCCAAGCAAAGGTTGTGATCTATAAAACACGTGTAAGTAAACTCTGAACCATGCGTACGCACATAAAGAGGAGATGAAACTGAAGGATGAAACTGTTTGAAGAGAATAGGTCTGCTGCTGCGTGAAATAAATCCAAAAATTGAAGCCTTTCTGAATAAACGTTTGACTGATTTTCCCTGAAGTGCGCAAAAAAAACACACAATTTAAGATCATTTGCAGCCACAAAGATCCAGATTCAGGATCATAAACACAAACGGAGATTCTGTTTCTGCCTCAGATATGTTGGACAGTTTAATCGGGAATCATATTAATTAATACTTGCATGCAGCAATTTATTCTCATAAATAAGGTGAACAGGAGGAGAAATTATATTTAAACTGATGCCGTTTTCAGTGCGTCCAGAGAATGTCTCAGTAGAGCTTCTCCTGTTCATCAAGCCTTACAAAGAATGTTGCATCAAAGAATGTCCTGAGCTAAAGTTAACAGGAAGGGTTTGTCTGATGTAATTTAATAAAACTGTCACTAAGTTACTGAAACAATAACTGAAAGTTACTGAAACGTACTAAAACATTAGATTATATACTAAACATTGTGAAAGCTTGAATTTTGCCTTGGTCTCTTTCATCCCGGATTGAATGGGCCCCTCTGACAAAACAACTGGCCCCAGCCCGGGCCCCTCAGTAAAATTGGTCTTGAACCGCCACTGCAGCACAGGTCGTTTGTTCAAGCAGCTTATTACGACGCATATTTGTTGTGGCAGCGAGCTCTAGTGGCCGTGCGACAGAAGCAAAGCAGCAAGCCGGGTGACGTTTTCTAAATCGGAAGGAAGGAGTTAAGGAGGTGGACGGGGTGGATGGACGGATCAAACCCTGGAGGAGAACGGCGTTCGAGTCGCGTGTGAAACCCAGAACATGTTAATGCGAGTTAAAAAACGTTTCTCACATCATCATGTGAGTTGAGTCACACGATTTACTTTAACCCAAAGTAGGATATTTTACTAAATCGAACCAAACTGTGACCGTTTCACAACATTAACCAGGTGTTGGGTGTTACGTCACGTGACTTACTGAGGTCCGGCCGCCTGTCGCTGGACGTGGTCGGGAAGCGCTCCGTGTCGTTTGGGAGGTCGTGGACAAACGACCTACTTTTTAGGTCTGAGAACAGGAAGCTGTGAGACAGAAGGACCGGTCCTGTTGGCTCGTGTTCATGTGAGTTATTAATAGGAAGAATCCAGAGTTACTGATCGCCTTATCCTTCAAATATCCCTCGTGCTGAGTGGTAACGCCTCTGTTCTCATGGCAACGCTCAGGTCAGCACTGATTGGCTGAGGCGTCTGAACCTGTGGTTGGCTCCTGTCTCGCATGTCAATCCCTCTGTCTCCAGCTCGTCCTGCATCTTCCAAACAAATAGAAACAGAAGAATCTGATCTGCTGTGACGGTGGAACCACAGGATAATCACATTAACTCCTGTTTGTGCTGATTACAGCATCTACTGAGGCTGATTATACCAAGAACTGGATTTAATTAGCACATGGCATTGATTTAGGTGATTAGATCCTCTGATCAGAGCACCGGAGTGAAGACTAGAAAGAAAATCAACGTAACTTTATTTACACCCATTAACAGCCACATGTTACGCTGCAGAACGAGGCCCAGACTTCTTTAGGCAGCTTCTTCCTGTGGCCGGATCACTGAGTTAAGGACATTTCCTCAACTAGGACCTATACTGTCCATAAGTTACATCGCTTCACAACGTATACTAATAAGCCAATCACAGCACAGTAATGAGCTGCTTCTGACCAATCACATGGCAGGCTCTCAATGTAAAGACACCAGTGTTACTTGAAGTGTGACACGAAGCAGCGCAGTGAAGTAAAATCTGACCTCGGTGAGACGTCTCTCATCTGACTGAATCTCTCGGAGGTTTGTGGGAACAGCAGGTTTATTTATGGCGAAGGACAGTAGTGTCGAATCGTCATCTCATGTGGTCAAACAGTGCGTGCTCTGTCTGGAGCGACGGCGTGGAGAGATTTTCTCCTGGCTGTGAAACACGTAAACGGATGGTTGACTTCATAGAAACATGGCGAAATTAATCAGCGACACATAATATTCAACCAAGGAAATCTAGCTTAACTTTTACCTGCTTTTCAAGTAAGTTAGAATTGTTTAGTCCACGGACATGTTACCTATGGGCAAATCCCATAATCCTTTGTCGCTGCAGGTACAACTTCATGGCAGCAGGTGGCAAAGTGGTCCCATTTAGTAGGATTTAACCTGAACCTTTTTAACTATGTTACACATGCAGAGCGCTGACAGCCACTAGCGCGGCTCTGGTTGTGTCGCATCATTTATTTATTTGAGTATGTCCTCCTGATCATTTTTAAGACTGTGATCCTGCTTGTTGTGGCAACTTAAAAAACGTCTCTCGCAGGACGTAAAGTTTTTTTCCAAAAGGACAGTGAGGTGAGGAGGCAGACGTGCGATGACAAAAACCCAACGTTTTATTTGACGCTAAACGACCACTGTTACGAAACAAAGCGTCTCCAGCAGGAGTCCTAAATACGTGTTCCATCAAACTTACTGTCACAAAGAAACTATACTGTACTGAATAAAATGAACGAAAACCAAAACCCAGACAGAAGCAAGGTGATCCAGGAACGCAGGTCCAGGAGAGAACGGGTCCAGGACACACTGCAAAAAGTGAGCTCTCAAAATGGGGGAAATATTACTTAAAATAAGCAAAATTATCTGCCAACAGAACAAGAACATTTCACTTGCTACTTAAGGACAAAAAAGAAGTTCTGAACACGACAACATCACGTTCAGACAGCGAGCCCTGCAGCCGAGCTGTGATTTTAGACAGGAATCTTTATTAATTAACGGGACAGTTTCTTAGATGGAGCCCATCTGTAGGACTAAGAACTAAGGCTAGAACGAAAAACACAAAACCATAAACCAAAACGAGACTTAAACAGGAAAACAACAGCACAAAACCAAATCCTAACAGTTGTGACGGTCAGGAACCACCATGGGACCTTACTTCAGAAAATACATGGACGGTAGACAATGGCAAGAGGAAGTCAGGAGAGTCGCAGTTTGATCTAAAATACGTAATTACAAAGAGCACAATCCCAAAAGTGGCGTTTGTGAAGTCAACTGTTTCTCTAAATGACTGCAGAAAACTCAAAAAGAAGATGCTGTGTTACATTTCTGCGTGGAACAAGTCACCTAGCTAGCAGCAACCAAGCAGTGAACGTTAGCTTAGCATTAGCGAGCTAATATGTCGGTGATGTAGAGACGGAGGATCACTGAACAGTTTTCACACAAAAATAAAATGTAGTTACAGGTTTACGACAAACTTCTGGACGGATAAAATTATATTTTAAATTTAAACAAACATCGTGTGAGTAATTCAGGACACAAATCAAACGGGATAAAAACATTATGTGTCCCTTATCATTTGACTACCGTACATATTTGTTCTGAAATAAGAGACGACCCAGGCTCCCTATAGGCACCTCCACCTCATTTTTACGACACTTGAACAGCTCTGAATTCACAGGAGAAACTTCTGGAGCGCAGATACGCCTCTTCATTATTATTATTACTAAATGAAACAGGAAAATAAGTTTATTTTCTCTATGGCTCTAAGACTCCTGCAATTTTTAAGCTCATGATAATCTTAAAAAGTAACTTAACGCCCCTCAAATCGTGTCTTCGCTAAACACCCGGTGATTGAACTTGTCACCTTGCTGCAGAGGGGTACAGGCGTTCTCCAGGACGCCACGCTGTCACCGCTGGGCGCCACGTTAGGCTGCTCTTTAGGCTCAGAAGGAACCGTGACTCCACGTACATGAAGCTGGAGACTCACATGACCTGGGATGAAAAGAAGGATCTGGATCATTTTGTTTGCCACACCGCCCCCCCGGGCGTGAGACGGTTAAACTGAATATTGATGATCCAAGTATGCTGACCTGGTTTAGCCCCAATCAGCTCTTTCTAAAAGATCCAGCATCTTTAACGAGCTTTCCCTGTAGGTTTCCCAAAGTACCTCCAGCTCTGAAAAGTTTTCAGGGACGGAAACTCGGAGGCTTAATTGGCTGAAGAAACCTCGCCGTGTGCACTCAGCCTCGGCGGAGCGGCGGAGCTCAGCAGCACGCAGCTTGTCATTTGGTCGGTCGGAGCTGTGGATGGTTTTCCCTGAGAGACGTGTCGGTCACGCATCGGTGGACTGGAACACAGACGGTTTGGAGGTGAACTTGCCCGTGTAGTTGTCTGCGGCGTCTGGTTGTTTGTGGACGGACTCGGCGAGGCTCGGAGGTGTCAGCCGGTCGACAGCAGGACACGGAGAACACGTGAGCTTCAGCCTGCTTCCTGTTCCAGCAGCCTCAGAACTGAACAACCATGGGAAAAGTCAAATCAATATTACGCAAAAGAAGACTCAATAAAACGCTTTAACTTAACTTAACAGAACTTAACAGTGTGTGTGTGTGTGTGTGTGTGTGTGTGTGTTTGTGTGTGTGTTTACTGGATCGGTCAGCTACACAAAACCATCACTTATTACTGATCCCAAGATGGCCGCCGCACGTTTGTTTCTGTGTGTGACTGTTTCCCCTCAGGGATCAATAAACTTTTCTGTTCTGTTCTAGCTCTTCTTCTCATCTGCTAATAAACAGGAAAGTAAATAAACTTCTTATATATTTTTTGGGATGACTGGATTTGATTTTCGCTGCCTCGTAACACGAAAGGAGCAGCGAGGAAGTAGTTAGTCCTCTCATGTCGGTGTGTCATTCACACCTGTAGCTCGGTTCATGTTCACAAACCAAGACAGAGCTGGAAACAGTCACGTGGACTGACAGGTAGCTCTCTGATTGGACGGTCACACTTGGGCAAGGAATAATATATTAATAAAAGTAACTAGTTACTCCTGACGTGTCTTTTTCCATGTGGTGCCTTTTGCGTCCGCACTACAAATCATGTTGTATTTTGTCTAAATTTGGACAAATACTAGTTCCATTTGTTTTTTTATGTAAGGTTATTAGTTATTAATTATGATTACAATGAGGCTGGCTCCTGAGTTGTGTTATTTACATTTCAGAGGTATTATGGGATGTTGCCATGTCCCCAGTGATGATCATTCAACTTAGATCAACTTATAAAAATATTATTATTATCTACTTTTCCTGATCAAAATCTATTTAATCGAAAATAGTTTTTATCAGAATTTATAAAGTAAAAAAATAAGCTTCTATGTTTGTCCCCAGCGCCCATGTCCACCCTGTTGAGTTGCTTTAACTGCCCCTTTAAGTGGAAAACATGTTTTTTTACTGACATCACTCTCATGAGGGATCAATCAAATTAAATAATTAAAAAAATGTTTGTGAAAAATTATAGATTCCTCATCTAGTATTGAAGGTCATGTTAGCCATTATGCTCACACAGGCAGCTAAAAGGCTAACGTTAGCTCAAAATGTCCAACAAGCTGGACACTAACAGGGTGGACATGTATATCCTGGTGTTTTGTCCACCCTGTTATGTTGGTATTTTTCCTTCATAGTTTATTGAAATTAGCAAATATTAAGTGTATATTTGTATTTACATAAAGATATGAAGGGATTGACCGCACAGGCAAGAGACACTGAGTAATTCTTATCATAATTCACTGTTCTTGAGAAAAATACGTCCCCCTTTCATAAGGTGCGCTTGTTTTACTCACTACAGGCCGAGCCTGTGCTGTTTAAAAAATATTTTATTGTAAACAAATATCTAATAAGAGTCATATGTCATATATATATATGACATATGATTTCTATAAAAATGTAATTTTAGTAGCAATCCTGAAAACACTTTTAAACAGTTTAAGTGTCAAAGTCCTTAACAGGGTGGACATGGCGTCCTGTGTGTCACATGTTGTTAATATATATAAATTTAATACAATAAAGGTGCCTGAGCTCGACCAATGTGTTTTTGATAAAGTTAGATATATACTTTATATAATAGAACGTGCGTTCACGTCAACGACAACAAAAGTGGCGTTCTGGTAAGAGATAATATTAACAACACTGCTGACAGCAGGTCATGCAGGACCTGACTGAATCTGAGCACCGTAAAAAGAACGAAGCATCAGTAGGAAGAACAGTGACGCTGCAGCTGACCTCCAATGTTAACAGGCGTTTTCTCCCAGAATAGTGTGAGCGTGTACTTCCTGTGTGCTCGCTTTTTATTAAGGCTGGTGCCGACTACACAGCCAGCCTGAAACCGCCTTGGGAGGTGGTCTCAGGCCACTTACAGGTAAACTCTGGTGCAGTTTTGTAAAAAACACAAACAGACCCAGCACAGTCATTAACGACAGCAGAATGACCATAAAAGCCGTCTTCTAGCCGTTATTAATGAGCAGTCTTACTAAGCGATGTATGTCGTCACATGGGTCTGTAACGCACTGGGTGAAGCCCTGTAGCGTCGTGTTTGAACGCTAAAGGTTGGTGTGGGATATGAAGAACAACTCAACAAGTTACACATGTAAGGTTACTTAACTTATGTAAATTAACTGACGTAAGTAACGTAGTTATTTTAACCCACACCACAACCTTTTCCTAAATCTAACCAAACCGTTTTAAAATTGCGTGGTTAGAAAAGTAATTTTATTTTGAAAGTGTAACCAGAGGTTGCATATGTATTGTTGCTCACATGACCACAGAGCTCTAAACGTTCAAAAACAAAGCTAAAGGGTACCAAGCGTCCATATGTGACTAGTTGGGAGTGAGAATTTCCCCTGATCAACCAGACAGTGATCAGGAGTTAAATCAGACGTGAATGCGTATGTAAGGACCAGGAAACTGCAGCGTGACCTGCCGTCACCAGAACCAGAGGTCCTGATGTGTGTCAGTGTCACGGTGAGGAAGCAGGATACCAGAACTGTCTGTTCACCGAGTTACCCGTCAGTCTGTGGACCTTTGTGGTTTCAGCTCCAGAACCAGATGAACCGACCTGCAGGTGTGAAGGTGCAGCTGTAGATCCATAAATCCTGGGAGGACCTGCGAGGTCAAATGTTTTACTGGCTTGTTCTGCGGTGACGAGCTTGTCGGGCTCTAACTGTGGTGCTGACTGTGCTTGTGTCTCTCTGCCGGCTGAAGGTATTCGAGGCGTCAGACTTTGGCTCTCACCCCCTGTTCTCAGTGACGCAGGGAGGAGTGGACCTGCAGCAAGTGAGTATGACCGCCTGGGGGGCAAGGGTCAAAGGTCACTGCATCATCTGCCAACACGGTGCGGTGACCCCCGCTTTAAAAGATACGAACTCACACACAGAGAACGGATTAAATGATTCTGTCTCTTAAATTAGAATATGAAGCGTCTCCTCCTCGTACAGCCCTACACTGTGTTTCATTTGAATGAAAAATCTTTACTTGGGTTTGGGAGAAATCTCTCCATGTGGTGCCCTGCTCTGTAAACCGCCACCTTCCCTGAGCCAGGGACGCAGCCAAAGGACCTGAATTCAATCACGTCGCTGCAGCCTGCCAGAGAGGTCAAGTGTGGGAACCGAGGCTGAGTAAAGACGGATGCCACGGAGCAAAGTATGAAAACACAGAGACGGAAAGAAATAGAAAAAGAAAGAAGAGTGAAAAATGGAGAGTGGGCTGACGGAAAAACATGTGCAGGGGAGGAGAGGGAAAGATAAGATACAGACATGAAAACTGCCTGGTGAATTCAGCGTCTCACACTCCATACCTCATCCTACCAGCTGGGTTTGGGATCCAGAACCGGTTCCAAGTTGAAACCGTCACCAAATTTCCAAGAACCATGGATTCACTAAGACCAAGAGCAAACTGCAGCAGCTGCAGTCAGGAGGTCTGGTGCGAGGGAGGAAGCAGCTCCGACATGACGAAGCGTTTCCTTCAACACGGCGTGAATCTGAAGGAACGCTTCAGCGTGTTCAGCGTGTCGCGCTCTCCCAGCTACAACGACGCCGCAGATCCAGCTAACGCTAACGGCAGCAACGTCTCAGGTACAAAACACAGGTGAGCAGACATTCAACTTTTATACTGAAGGGAAACCAATGATGGCTACAGATGAGACGAGTCCCAGAGACGCCGCTCTAGGACAGAGACTCCTTTCACTTTAGAGACATGAAGGGGAAGAGGAGGAAGGATTATATCCAGTTTTTCATGTGATGTCTTAAAGCAGCCAAATGAAAATGCAGCAGATGCACGTCTTCCTGTAAAACAGCCGTCCGCCGTAACTGCAGGGACTAAAGGGTCAATTCGTGTGCTCAGATTTGAGACACTTAACGGAGCTCCCATCCAACACGATGTGCTCAGTCTGCACCCACTGCTAATGATTCCTGTAGAGAAGAGCGAGTGGGGCCAGTCAGCAGCAGTGCTTGTATCACTCTGACAGGAAGCTGCAGGGCTGCGTGCTGAGCTGAACGCAGAATCACACAGCAGACTCGTGTTGGCAGATGATGTTGAAACGGGGGAACAATTCACATGTTGGCCGAGACTCCGAGGAATGTTTCGTTCGTTGACTAGACTGCCCTTTTTCAACAAAGATATAACAACAGTGATCAGGGAGGCGAACGCCAGCCGACACACGTTTGGATGGGACGCGAACTGAAAATGGCCGTAACCATAACGGAGATGTGCTCAGAGTGTCAGCAGATATTTAGAGCAGACGAACAGCAACATGAACTACGGCAAAGTCACACAAAGAGCCTCTGCAGCCGCCAGCCGAGCTACTACATGGACCCACACAGGACCCCCCCCCCCAGAGGAACATGGATGTGCTTCAAGTGACGGTGAACGCTCCCCTGGAACAGCAGGTGTTCCCACCCGGTTCTTTGATGCACAGTCTGAATATGCTGAGAGGCTCTCTGCAGGGTTAGCTGGACGGCGTGATGGGGTGCGCTGGCAGTGCGCCGTAGGTCAGGTCAGGTTATGGTACACGGACATTAATATGTTTGTTTCACACAAACATACGAGATCGGCCTCTGGCAAAATGATTACCTGCTCGTCAAAAAATCTTTTATTTATTTTTTTATTTAGCTCTCATATAGCATTTAGCGTTTACCCAAAGCGACTTACAATTGCTATATTTGTCAGAGGTCGCACGCCTCTGGAGCAACGAGGGGTTAAGTGTCTTGCTCAGGGACACAGTGTCTCACAGTGGATTCAAACTCAGGTCACTCACACTAAAGGTATGTGTCCACTGCTCCATCACCACCAGCCTGACGATGAAATATTCTGAAAAACATTTGATTTCATCGTCTATATTTTTGAGGTCAGTTGTCAATTCTGAAAATGAACACGTACGTTTGCTTTTATAAATGAAACTGTCGTTTCCTCAGATTGATTAAAAGGACTCTTTTCCTTCGACACGCTTCCTAGTGAACAGAATAGTTTCATGTCAGGGGCAAGGTCAGTTTAGATTAGACCATCCATGATCAGCAGCGCCGCCGTCATAAAGTGTCCTTCCAGCAGCCTCCGAACACACTATCATCATAGCTTACACGTTTATTTCATGTCAGTGGAGAGTTGGGCCTCTGGACGCTTTAAATTCAAGTCATCTCCACGTGATGATCCGACGGCGTGCTGCTGCAGCCACTAATGAAATGCATTCATCCCTGCTGAAATCTTTGCTCTCCTCTGTCACGTTTAGCTTCTCCAGCCTCTGTCTGTGAAAGACACTGATGGTATGATGGCGTGTCACTGCTGGCTAATATTAGCAGCAGGGCTAAACTGGGAACGCATCTGACTGACAGCACTTTGTGATAAGAGTGAAGCGGAGCACTGTGGAGACGAACGGAGGGACGTGTGTTTGACTGGACAGGCTGAGTGTTTAAACTAAGCTAACACTAAAAAAGGTCTGTTGGTTAAAAAAGCAAAACTTCCTGTTGGATTACAAACAGAACTCTGATCCCATTTAACAGGTTAGCAGACAGAACGTTAAAACGGCCACTTGGTTTATGTTGACACTATTACCGCCTCGTAGGCGTTAAATTATGGTTTATGGTCGAGGATGAAACCGAGAGATCAAGGTCACCATTCAATAACAGAAATGTTATTAAGCGTTTAGACGGGCTGTGAACTCTGCGTGCTGCTGCTGAAGGAAATCAGTCACGTCATCATTAATGGACGGAGCAAAAAAATACAGCAACAACTAATTCACACGGTAAGTCACTGATCCGATCTGAGGATGAGACAGGAGAGACGAGTCACCCCGGACTCACACAGGGAACGCTGCGGCGGCTGGTAGCTAGCGTTGAGGTAGATAAATTTTACAGTTCACAGTTGGCCTGCCCCCACTGCTGAAAAAAATCCTAGAGGAAACCAGAAAACACTGCTGGGTCCTTACTGCAACCTGCACGCAAACGCAACAAACTGACTGACCTGCAGACGGATTCAGACTGACACACTCACGTCCTCACACCTGAACAACAGGTCGACTTTCAGGTGTCCCAAAACGACATGGACAAGCATTGGCCAGTACCAGTCTGGGGTCAGGTGTACCGGGTCGGGCTCAGGTGTACCGGTCCGGGGGCAGGTGTACCGGTCCGGGCTCAGGTGTACCGGTCCGGGCTCAGGTGTACCGGGGGTCGGGCTCAGGTGTACCTGACCGTAAGTACGTTACTTAAGTCACAAGGCGTTAAACACACGTGGTAAACTTTGTGAAATGGTGGTAGTTTGGTCAGGTTTAGGCACCAGAACCATTTGGTTTGGGTTCAAATGAGAACATTTCATAAGTCATCTACAAAACATTATTGAGCTTAAAACGTGTCACATTTGACTTTCTTTGACGCGTTATTTTTTTCCCGCCCCGCTGTGCTGTGATTGGCTAATACTCGTTGACACTACTGATTTTGAAGATAATGTGATAACATAAATGTTTTAAATCGTTGTATCCACAGGGGCAGCTCAGTTTAACCCTTTGTTCATTTGACATTTGCGTCTCAGCAAATATGTATTCATTACACTCAGTCTTGAACCAGCTGAACTCCTCAGCTGATGGGCTGAGGGCCCCATTGGTGAAGAGTCCATTATTTTGGGTTGCTGCTGCGAGTCCCAGGCTTCACTACCTTTGGCGAGCTGTAGCGAGGGTCCACAGATGCTGCGTTTCTTTTCTTATGCTTGGCCCAGCACAGTTAGCGGCCCACCGTAGAGCTATTGTCCAATCACAAGGACGCATGCAAGTGGAGACAAGTTGTAGTCAATCACAGCATAGCAGGGCGGGACTTAGAAAGAAAATAACAGGAGTGAAAGTTGTGAGTTTACTGGACCCCACCACCTCCTTACACAGACTTTGTCTCTCTTTATACCACGTCTCCTGACTCTTTCTGCCTCTAGAGGTCGCGGTCTAACAACAAACCTAAACGTGGGTCGTAATAAGCATCATCGACCTGCAGGCCCGTTTCTCTGCTGAGGACGGGCCGGAGCTTAAAACCAAGACTGACTAACTGCACGCGTTACGAGGACCAGGCTGACAGAAAAAGACGTGTACAAACTAGAAGAGACGAGCTCTTCACTCCATCACACTGACTCCACAGCCAACTTTAGCTAAGAGAGGTGGGGGGGCTGCCTGAGGCTCCGGGCCTCGGGGGTGTCAGTTACAGCAGCAGCAACAACGGCTAATGGAGGCCCCGCGGGACTGATGGGAGCTGAGGGGGAGGCTATCCATGGGAGGACACTTGGCCCCAACAGCTGGAACAGTCACATCTGGGATGTGGTCCAGATCCGTCTACGTTTGGTTTGACAGTATTACACCCAGTCACGGTGAACAGCAGGACGACATGTTTGTTCAGTCCAAACCTGTCAGATAAAGACATGTATGATGTGTCAACTCCTCGGTGAAGGTTTGGTGTAGGCACAGAAAACACTTTAGGTGAGGTTTGTTGTTGTTGTCACCTAAATAAATGGCTAAAAGAAACCCAGGTTGACTGCTAGTTGGAAAGACAACAAGGTCTGTGTCACTGAAACGTCTATGGTGATATCTTGATTGTTGTTTTAACGATGTGTGAGCAGACATTATGGAGTAGGTCACGTCACTACCTTTACTAATAACACCTCCGTGCAGTCGTGCACGAGTTAAACAAGCTTAAAAACGAGACACCAGGAGATAAAACACCGACAGCACCAGCCTACAGTCACATGGAGCTCAAAAGACGTCAGTCTGCAAACTATGTTGTTGTTAAAGAACACAAACTAACCACCAGATGGAACATCAAGGATATGAAAAGCTTCGGCGGCCCACGACAGACCTGAACCAGCCGGTACCAGCACAGAAACAAACTCCAGAAGAACGCCGCAGAATCAGATCCGTTACGACAACAGCTGCGACAGAACAGACAGATGAAACGGTTCACTCAGACGTGTTTCAGTGAGCGATGAGTAAAAAGAAAGGTCAAGAACAAACATGGCAGGAAAAGAGGACGAGGACACCAGCGTAGAAAATGTACAGCGTGTTTTACATCTTCCACCGTCTGACTCCATCCTTTAGCATCTGAGCAAGCTGCCGTGTAAAAATACGAAATGAAAAACGCTTTTCATTTGCTCGAGCTCGCACAAGCTGTGCACGTTACTGTGCACAGGCCGCCAAGCCAAACGGCGATGAAAACAAACCGCCACCTTCTCCGTCCCGGTCTGTTCTGTTCGGGTAAGAAACAATCAGCCACTCCCGGAGAGAGAGAGATCTCCAATATGGCCGCCACAGGCTTCATTGTGTCACCTGACAGCCCTTTATAGAGAGGGGAGGGCAAAGTATATGGGAAGAAGAAGAGAGAGAGAAGACGGTGAGTGAGGGAGAGATGGATGAAGAGAGGAGGAAAAAGCAGGAAGAGACAGAAAGAGAAAACGAGACAGGAGACGGGATGGAAGGAGGGTTAGTGCAGAGTTAAGTGGCTGCACAGCGATTAATGCCTTTTATTCATTATTTAGGCTGGGGGGGGGGTAATAAAGGGGGAGGGAGAGAGGAGGATTCATCTATTTGCGGCACTTTCTGGTGAAATCACTCATTTGCTTTCTGGTGACAGATCCATCTGCAGCTCTCAGACATTTCTGAGATTCAACATTAATCTTTATTTCAGGATTAAAGAATTTCTAAATGGTAATTCAGCTGCGCTCGTTCAGACGCCGGCAGACATGAAGCACATCTGAGAGTCAAAGTTTCAGGGTTTAGCAGGAACTCATTAAAGTAAATAACTATAGTTTAGAGTAAATGAAGGTGAGTTAGTGAGTTTAGATCTGATGGAAACACCGGTGAAGTTTAGCTGCAGTGATTTATAGAAGTATGAAAACATTACGGAGATCTGCACAGATCATGAACAGATCTTCTGCATGTGCACCAGGAAGTCCGTAAGTCTGTTCAGAGGTCACAATAAAGATGTTCCTGATAACATCAGAGGCGGCTGCTTGTTGTCTGGACAGTGTGAACAGGAAGTGCAGGATCGAGCTCCTTTGGCTTCACATGCAGAATAAACTTGCTTGATGTTCCACGTGTTATTTTTACCGTACTGTCCTACACTGAAGCATCCTGATAGGGAGCAGTCACATGGGACAGAAGGCAGCTGCCTCGCCGCCGTAACACACAGCAGCCGCAGATGGCAGCACACTCGAGTGAAGGCGTCTCTGTGAACATTGGTTTGGAACAGCCTTTTAGGGCAGCGTTTACGGCAACGTGTGACGTCCCTTCTGGCAGTCAGTCGCTAACGTCAGCTAGCTAGTTATTGAAAAGGCAAATGGATAGCAGACGCCTCAGAAATCAGACTTGAACAAACTTGGTTAGTTTCAGTCACTGGCTGATATGATAGTTCAGGGTTTAGTTCTCGCTAACATTTCAAAAATCGAAGCAATAAAAGTACAAAAAACTCTTAAAAACGTATATTTGTAGACAAATTTCAGCTTGTTTGTCCGCCATCTTATCAATTTTTTTGTGAGCCACCCCAGGCGCACTGATTTATGGGTCATAGGCAGATCAGCATCGATGTTGCCTTCGAAACGAGCCGTTTGGAACAGCACCCGATGCCTCGCCGTCCTGTTAGACGCCTCTTGAGTCCGCGGTTTTACCTGTTTCAAACACAGCCAGAGTCTTTCTCAGACCTCATCACAGACACTTCAGACCAGCTGTTATTATATTTAGTCGGCAGCTAAACTTTTAAATGCAGTAAAGAATGAATCCTGGCTCGTTGGTGACACCAACGCATACAGAATCAGATCCTAGCATCGATTACAGCCCAGCAGAGCCACTGAAGCTGTTACTGTGTGTTAACACTGAAAGCGAATTTAATATTCGCCTCGCTTTACACACACGAGTTTGACCGCTGGACATTTTGAGTCTTCACACACAACGCGACAAGCGAATGAACACAGCCCGCGGATACTTCAGCTGTATGAACCCAAAGTATAAACCTTTGCTGTGATTAAACGGATCAAACTGATGCCGAAATATCAACAACATGATGCCGTTTTGTTAGACAGATGAATTCAGGCTTTGTCAGGTCTGTCAGCAGAACAACAGCTATTAAAATGTTTGTTTTCTGAACGGAGTTTGGATCGATCAGGGCTATGCTACGCTAACCTGTTCACAGTAAAGTACAACGACAGCTGGAATAAAGTTACAGACACACATGTTCTGAACTCACCAGGTAGTTCAACTTCCTCACTTTCTTTTCTCCAAGTAACGTCCAGTTTTGTCCGGTTGTTATAAAAATGAAGTAGTAGTCCAGCAGAACTCCGGTACCATCCGACGCTAACAACAACACTGGAACCGGATCTGCACAGAAGCTGCTGAGAAGCTCCAGTGAAGATAAATCAGGCTGTAATCCCAAAAACTAAAGTAAAAAGCTAATTTAATAAAAGCAGTTAACTCTGAGTTCCTCCTGCAGGTAAACGACGTTGCTGTCAGAGCAGAATCCAGACCGACTACGGGGGTTATTGAAGCCGCCGGTGACGTTTGGACAATCTCACCGCTGATAGGCTTTCGCAACATCGCGTCAAGCGAATTTCTCACGAACCAGCTAATGTCGCGACAAACGCCTCTTTTGCGCCGCCCGGAGTGAATTCGCAGAAATTCGCGTCTTTGCATTGACTCTGTAATAAAAATGCTGGATTCGCTTTTAGTGTGAACACAGCTTCACTGTGATGTAGAGACAGAGCTCAGGTCAAAACCCTCTGAAAGATTAATGTGTTACAGATGACTAACTTGCCGCTCTGAAACTCCTCTGGTTGTTCTGCCTGTGTTTCGGGATCAGACTCGGGCTCCAACACGTACAGCTGAACCGAAGCCGTGGTTACCGGCTTGTCAAGACCCGCCCTGCTCTACCAAGGTACTGAGCATGTGCAGCTCCAAACAAAGATCTTGATGCTTCACTCGGTAGCTAAAACAGAGCATTCAACACACAGGGTGAAAAGAGGAGCTGCAGCGACAGAAATATGGTGTTTTTTGAAAATGAAACCACGTAAATTTGTTCTGGTACAACCCCTAAATAAAGTTATGAACCTGAAAATGAGCAGAATATGACGTCACTTGAGTTTGTTGTTGTCGTGCTGGACCGTCATAATACTGACAACATGCAGAAGACCAAACATTACGTATACATTACTACACATCAATCATTATTTATTATATTATTGTATAAAACAATTATTGTCAGTTAAACATGAAGTCCTTCAAATGAAGTGAAAGCTCATATGTGAGGGGCTGCGTTTATCAAACACTCTCTGCAGCACTGAGACGTCTCTGAAGCTCGTTCTGACCTCCTGACAGTCAGACGAGTGAACGCACCACTTCTTCTGTGTAAAGAACTTGGAGAACAAGTTCTCAGGGTTACAATCATGTGAGGCCGAAACTTTGATCGCATGATGACCTGGTGGACTTTAAACCCAACCTGTGAGGAGCTCCTCTCCTGGTCATCAGCAGAGACAGGATGTGTGTCCACTTAGAAATGAGCTCCTGCTCTGAGACGCTTGAAGCTGCTGCAGCTGCACCTCTGACCTGCGCTGCATTAAACCACCAGCGGAGATATACGTTCTGCGTTCAGGCCTGCACGGACCGCTGGATTCAGGCCTGCAGAGTAGACTTTCAGGTTTGGCAGCGTGTAGAAATATTTAGCGTCGTATATGCAGATCAAGAAGACACATAACAAAATGAAGGCGGCCGAGCACAGCCAGGCCGTCGCTCCTGCGCAGCCTTTCCTCTGAACCCTTGAGTTAGCAGCAGGAGTCAGGAGTTCAGCAGCAGCAGCAGCGTCAAGGATAACAACTGTGAAACGTGTTATATAAGGTGTGGTGAACCTCAGGGAGCAACAACGGCTCTGAATATCTCTGATGCACACTCTCAGCCTATGGAAGTGTTCGCTCTCTTTGAAGTTCACTTTGGGATTTGGGAAGGCCTCTAAAAACTTTACATCCTGATCTTGGAGAGATAAACAAGGAGCTGCAGCGAGAAGTCGTTTCAGTAACTCTTGTAGCTCAGCAGAGCGTTGGGAAGCATCCACCCTGACAGAGACTTCTTCCAGGAGAGAAACCTTCCAGCTCCAGCCTTGATCTTTCTGCTGCTGTAGGGGCGTCTAATGTCTAAACTATGGATTCAAGGCGGTCAGAGAGATTTTTATGATGTCACATCCACTATCTACAGTAAAGATCTAGAGAAATAAAATCTGTGATGCAGGTGCTGACGTGGAGGTTTTGTTTCAGACATGAACTCAGTAAAGAAATCAATAAACAACATTATTAATTATTAACTTTTAAATCACATCTAGTCTTCATAGACTCGATGACTATAAATAATAATGCAGATTAATGTTATTGTAAAGCTTTGCAGTGTTCCTTACAGCCTGTCTGCAGGCACAGCCTCCACCAATCAGAGGCAGGCTGTGGCCTGAGAGCCCAAATCCAGGGCTGCCCCCTGGAACAGGGACACAGACGGGTTCTTTCTCACGTGGACTCTCTTTCTGTTTCAGACGTACGCAGTCCAGAGTCACTACGGCATTCCACATTCAGAGGTAACAGGAAGTGACTCTCACTGTTTACAGGAAGTTTTCTGAGCTCGTTTAGATCTGACTTCATCCTCTGCTCCTCCCTCAGCTGGCGAAGCTCCACCAGCTGTCCATGCAGCAGCAGGGCCTGGCCCCCATCAGCCAATCAGCTGCACAGGTCCTACCAGGTATGCACACACACACACACACTCTTAGCTCTGAGCGTTAGTGAAGTCGGTTAAACGGCCAATCAGGAGGGAAGATTTTATAACTGAACTATTCTCCTGCAACAACTGTCTTTCTGTCCTCTGTCGCCCTCGTCTGAGCCACCAGACTCCACTGATGAAAAGAGAGATTTCACCTCTCTGGTCTTCCGCTGCCTCGGTCAGTTAGTTTATTTGTGTTATTGTGTGACTTTGGTGTTTGAAAGGGTTAAAAAGACGCTTGTTATAACAGTCAGCTGCAAAACAAGCTCTTCAATGGACAAAGGATAACGTTGCAGCCCTGATCGGCTGCTGCGCTCGCTCAGTGCACATAAAAACACGGGGAAATAGGTTTCAAAATACAAAAGTTACTCTTTAAAGTACCAAAAGTAAAAGTATTGATCAATGTCAGAATCAAACGTAGTGATTAGTGATGCATTAGTGTCGAGTTAACGATGCAGCAATTCATTAGAATAAAGCTTTAAAACACATCATCATTTATTAGTTTAATTATAATTTGGATTAATAATCTAAATCTACAAAGTCACTAATGTTAAATAAATGTACTACTCAAGGAAAGTACCTCGAACCTGTACAGTACTACAGTAAATGTACTTTGCTCTGCTCAAAGTCCTGCGGAGAAGATGTCAGTGATAACGACCAGTTTCTAAAAACCAAAACTGCCTGTAAGATATTAAAGCATGAACCAACCAACCAATCACAAGTTAGGAGCTAGAGTGTGTGTGTGTGTGTGTGTGTGTGTCTGTGTGTGTGTGTGTGTGTGTGTGTGTGTCTGTGTGTGTGTGTGTGTGTGTCTGTGTGTGTCTGTGTGTGTGTGTCTGTGTGTGTGTGTGTGTGTGTGTGTGTCTGTGTGTGTGTGTGTGTGTGTGTCTGTGTGTGTGTGTGTGTGTGTCTGTGTGTGTCTGTGTGTG